TCAAGTGACCGTGGATGTGGTATTTTGCTTCATGGATTACTTCACCTAGCCTAAGCCGTTGGTTGTATTTCTAACAGTCAAGACCATTCTGTGTCAAATGAATTCTACCCAGCTCTTGTCTCCTTTCCCATCCCAGGAGAAAGCAGACCTGTCATTGCATGTGAAATGTGTCTCTGCTTTGAACAGAGTAACGATCTAAATATAAGGTATTCATGTCGTGAAACTCATTTTTTATTGTTTTTCCTTAATGCTATTTTAATACATGAAAGTAAAACATGTGCAATACATAATATTTAGCTTTATAGTGAAGAGAACAGAAGGCTTCAGCTGTGCCCTCTCTAGGGGCTGGCAGCATATGGAAGCAGGAGGCGCACTTACCAGAAGTGGGCCATCCTGTGTGATTGGTTAGGGGTGCATATTTGGCTTTCTCTGTGAGGTCTGAACCTGATAATGGTGGCAAAAATTAGGGAGGCTATCAATTATTAATCAGGTCTTAATCATTTGGGGCTGATTATTCTACGAGTTATTGTTTGGTGTTGTGAGCTCGTTGCTAGAGATAGTAGTCTGTCTTCCTATAAGCCTAATTTATAGGTAGTAGGCTAGCTTCCCTGGGCAGTTACTATAAATAATGAGTTGGTTTCTGGGCTTCTTGCTGCAAATTGTGATTCAGAATTCTACTTTTTAAAAATACCTATTTTTCATCTTTATATATGGTCTTTCCAGAAGGTATCCAGTCATGTAATATGAAAAATAGAGACATTTATTGAAGAAGATACAAGATACAAGAAACATTGTACAGAGGACAATGACACCTCAGTCCCCTTCAAAATAGGCACCTTGGGACCTCACACAGTTCTCCCAATCACCATCAACTGCCCCACTGTATTTTCCTGAATCTCATCAACAGTCTGAAATCTCTTCCCTTTCAAAGGTGAAATTAGAGGTTCCCAAAGGTTTTAGGAGCAACCAGAAGTCACAGGGGCATCAAATTTGGGCTGTAGCAGGGCTGGGTCACTTAGGTGATTTGATGTTTCACAAAAAACTCTGCATGAGACGTGATGCGTGAGTGGGTGCATTGTTGTGATAAAGCTGCCAATCACCAGTTGCCCACAGTTGCTGCCTTCTGAATCATCCAAAGGGTTTCCATGGAGGAGTGTTCAAGCTTAATGCAAAATTGGGTGCAGATTCGTCGTTCTACTTGCTCAGTCATTTTGAATGTGATGGCCACACAGCACACATGCTCACTGAATGGTGTGTACAGCTCCCACTGACTAGCACACTGAAGTTGTCATTGTTCACACACATGCATTCCAGTCCACTCCCTTTGGCCACCAGGTTACATCAGTGTTGTGCAAACCGTTCTCATTATATTAAGAATGGTTGGACTTTTTCTGGACAGACCTTGTATTTTGTCTCTCCCTTCTAACAGATAGATAAATAACAAGAACAGCAATACATCAAATCATGTGAATTATTCTTAACCTGTTATTGGGGTTCTGCTGAGGGGCTTCAGAAATTGGCAGACTGATGCAGAGACCATTTAGTCCCAACTCATGGTTTTTTTTGTTTTTATCAATATGGCTTATTCTAAGCTTTTGGGTTCTTCCTAAAACATTAAGAAAATATTCCTGGGTTGCAAAAGTTGGGGAACATTAAAATACACCTCCTATACATCTGAGCTGTTTCTAAGAGCTACTGCCATTTGATGTGAGGTGCAATATAATATTCATCACAGGGAGCGAGAGGGACTTGTGTGACTTGGGGGTAACTGACCAAACCTCATTTTTTTTTCATTTCTAAAATGGGAAAAATCATAAATTAAAATCATAAATCATTGCATCTTAAGTATGATAAAGGGCTAATCTCAGGAATAAATTTAAGCTTTTAAGCCTGAAGGACACAATACAGGAACATTCTTACATTTTTAACTTAACGTTCTTGATTACTTTTTCCTATTTCCAGTTGGAATTGTTATATTGCTATACAAAAAGTAAGTGATCTGAACACAGTACTCTGGTTATGTTTTTATACTTAGTTTATATGACATTTGATTTGATCATGATGAGGCCATTCCTATTTCTGATGAAGAGTACACATAAAAATAGCTTTGATTTTTAACAGAACTGGATCCTGATCTTGTCTACAGATAGTTTTTCTTCAGACTTATGCCTATTTTGGTCCACTTTGGATATTATTTAAGCCCATATTACAATTGATCAAATAGTTTAGAACTTTGCTTTATTCTTTGTTTAATGCTTCTAAGGCTGGAAATAGATTCAAATCATTTTTTAAGTGACTGTGCATTATTATGAATTATTTTATTTCCTTTTCCTGTCTTGGCAGTTTTTTAATTTCCTCATAAGAAAATCTTTATTATTTATTAAAAGGAAACAAAATCATTATTTAAAATATCAAGTGATACATGAGGGAAGGATAATCTCAACTAGAAATAATAATTAGCACCATTGAGTAAACGTAATAGCAGATATTCTTCAGTGTCTATGAATGGACAGACCAGTAGATTGAAGAATAAATGGGTAAATAGATGAATCAAATGATTTTATAAAGTGGCATCTTGTAATGAATTCCATTTTAAATTAAGTATATTAAATTACTTTGTTATACCAAATAAAAATAGACAGATATGCATCTAATAACTATTTTTTCTGAAAACATGTATTAGTTCCTAATAGATTTCCCTAAAGGTAAGTAAAAGTAGTATGAAAAAAATAAGATGTGAAAGTCACTTTTTGGAACTTTAGATTTAAATTTCTCTGGTACTGAATGCCTGCCTGCTCTGAAAAATAGGAAAAAAATAGATTTACCATCCTCCCCCTCCATTTCCCCTCACATCCTTATATTGATTATTTATATTAGTATATGTGTTTTGTTAAAATTGGTGATATTTCCATTATGTTCTTTTAAAAAAATCAGTGGCTGACATTTATTGAAATTTATAGATTCCAAGCACTGTTCTAAGCCTGCCAGCCTTTTGTCAGCCTTTATGATCCCTGCCTCTCTCTTCCTCTGTGGGGGAAACTTTTGCACGCAAATCCTCCTATCTGCCACGGATGAAAATAAAACTACTAAGACATGATCTGCTTGGGGAGGAGAGGTGGTCAGTCTCTCAAAGGAGAAGGACCAAGAGCCCCTTCCTCAAGGGCTTTTATTAGGTTCATAATACATAGGAATTCAGGTAAAGCTCATCAATCAATGTCAGGTGGCAAGGATCAAACAGTAGACAACTTTTCAAAGAAATCTGAGGGCTTAGTCTGAATCAGAGTCTGTCAGGAAAGGGGGTTGCAGAAACTTTGGGAGACATACTCATTTCCTGCTTGGACCCTTATCATATGAATGAAAGCACTCTTAGCAAAGCAGGCTTCACTGGACTTTACGAATTCCTTCTTATGCCTGATCACCCCGGATCCTGCTCTAGCTAGCAAAGGACTGCACCACCTTCCCCATCATAGGTTTTTAGGCTTAAGTGGATTAGACCCGGGAAGCGCTTCTCCCAGATGGACATGGGGACTCGGGCTATGTCAGAATAGCTGGGGGGCGAGGGTCCATCACCTTCTCTTTGCTGCAGCCCCCCGAGTCCTTTCTTGAGGGTCTCCCAAGTGATTGTGTCTGTCTTAGGTTGTCCCCCCACCCTTGAGGGGTCTTACCTGTCATTGACTAACTGACCAAGCATTGGGGGCCAGAGATGGATGAGCAGAAGCAGTGGTCCTGCCAGGGAGATAAGCTTTGTCTCCTTATTGGCTCACAGTCTGAAGGTCGCTCAGTCAGCCTTATCCATGGGGGCAGTTACAACTCCTGAAACCAGGCAGAGCAGTTCCCAACATCCCTCCTTCTCTCTCTCTTTCTCTCTCCTTCCTATTCTCCCTCTGCCTCTTTGTCTTTTTTTTTCCTGCCTTGACGTATGTGCAGAGGCAAAAACAGAGGAACAGTTCAGCTCCTGACACTGTAGTTTGATTTGATAAAAAGTAAAACACTTCGAATTTGCTCTCTCTTTTGAGATGTCAAATACCCTGGACTATGGTTTATTTCGCTTGGTGGTGGGAATATCCTATTTTTTTTTAGTTAGAAAAGAATAAACTTCCAGTGAATTTAGTCAATTCAAAGGGAAGCTTTGGGAAATCATGTCCCCGATGGCATTTTTCACTCCCGTCACTCATCTTCTAGCATGGCACTTATTGTTCAGAATTTGCCTTCACAGTTTTCCCTGTGTTCCTACTTGTCCATTTAGTCCAGTTCTCTGAAAATTAAAGTTATTAGTAAAAATATGAAGATTTTGAGTTGTCATCTTCTTTCCCCAAGATGCCTTTTGAGGGACAATAATGGTAGTAAATGTTAAAGTTTATACTCAGTCATACTAACATTTCCTTCTTTCCTTCCTTCAGCCACTGCTTTTCAAACTGTAGTGTAGCATTTACTACTTTTGAATGTTTCTCCCTTTTTTGCTACTTTATGTGTATTTTGGGGGTGTTGAGAGGGAGCATCCGTGACTGTAACATCAGTGTAGCGGCACTGAATGGGAATGGCATATACGTTCTTTAGGATCATAGTCATTAACCTTTGAGTCAGGAGTAGAGGACTCACTACATGGAGGTGCAGTTTTTGAAATATGTTTTCAGATGCATATGCAATCCCCCAAATTGTCTGCAAGCTGAATAAAATTGAGGTGCTGTTTTATGGCAAGTAAAATAGAAAGTAATTTAAATACGTAACTGGATTCTTTTTTTTTTTAAAGATTTTTGTTTATTTATCTTTAGAGGGGAAGGGAAGGAGAGAGGGAGAGAAACATCAATGCATGGTTGCCTTTCGTGCGTCCCCTGCTGGGAACTGGCCTGCAGGGAACCAGCCTGCAACCCTGGTATGTGCCCGGACTGGGAATCGAACCGTGATTGTCTGGTTTGCAGGCCCGAGCTCAATCCACTGAGCTACACCAGCCAGGGCTCATAACTAGATTCTTTATAGCTCTTTGTCATTTTGTATTTCAGTGAAGGCGTACAACAGTATCAGAGGCTGTAGAAAGAAAGACAAGTCACCATGCAACCTTGAGTAAGTTGACTACTGTGAGTTTTACTGTGAAATGAGTCGATAATAGTGTCCACCTCAGAAGGTTTTTGTAAGGTCTACATGAAATAATACATGCAAAACATTTGCCACAGTGCCTTACACCTAATAAACACTCAATGTTAGCAACTAGTTATAATCAATGGATGCTCTCACAGGAGGATCTATTTGCTTAGAAGGGGAACTTCTCATTTTAATGTTGGGAACCACAGTGGGGCCAGATAGACTCTTGACTCTTTGGACATGGCTTACCTACTTCCATTAGGTTAAATTACATGAAGACTTCACGTGGAAGAAATGTGTTGAGCATGCCTGCAAGGAGACAAGGCTGATACCAGTTGACCATGTACCATCCATCTAGGTGCATGAAAGGTCCCAGCTTGATTTCCACAAGAAGCACACACTGACACGAAGATTAGCATAAAGAAGTTTATTTGGAGAGCTCTTGTGGTCAACATTTGTAGAAGGAAGGGGAAGAAAGCAGGATTGGACAGAGGGAGAAGTTGGGTCTTGATAGTTTCAAGGAAAGCCACAGCTGACCCCTGCAGGGAGCTCTGAAGTTATGGTGGCCCGACAAAGTGGTCCCAACTTGTGACTAGGAGGGCCATCCTTCCCATGTTCATATTGGCCAGTAATTGAATGCAGGTATATCACTGGTGGAGGCAGCTTTCCCCAGCTGGGGGTGATTTCTTGGCAGGACTCAGCTCTGAGCACTGGCAACACTTGCAGTTGTTTTCTTTGGGTGGGGGGAGGATGAGGAATGAAAGTTCTTCAGGCCTGAAGGGGGATTTGGGTGTGTACAACAGAATCCACTTCATTAGCTGCAGCATGCTCATTGAAAATCACATGTTCTTGTTCAGAATAGTTCTGAAATGCCATTCAAAATCAAGTTCAGAGTTAATTTACTATCTCCTTTAAAAATGCATTTAGTTACTATTTTTATGGTATACTCTATTGTCATGAAATCAAATAGATAATGAAAAATAGCAATGCATTCTCTAGTGGACATGTACCTTAATACATGATTAACATGATTTGAAAAATTTAATATAGATATTTATTGAATCAAATTTGATCAATCCTGACTGTCCATGTTTGAAAGACAATATATACATGTTTGTGTCTTTGCTTGTACACATGTGTATTCAGATCTGATTTCTGAGCAAGTTTAATTTTTACATATCCATGTGAGAGTAACATGTTTTTTCCAAGGTCAGTGTCAGACATTGTAGGAAACATAAAAAACAAGAAACATACCAGGGAACTAAGTTCCACAGGGAACCACCAGTTCCACAGGGAACTAAGTTCCACAGGGAACCACCAGTTCCACAGGGAACTAAGAGTAAGTACAACCTGCGCATGTTATTTGGAGCAGACCACTTTTTTAAAAAGTTAAGTGTTTTGGCATTGACACAACAGGATAGGCAGAAGAGCAGTGTATTCATGAGCACAGAGTGGCTACCAGGCTGTTCAAATCCCACTGCTGCTATTGCTGTGACATTGGGCAAGGTACTTGACTTTGCTGTGCCTCACTTAGCACCTCTGTAAAATGGGTTTAGTAGTACAAATACCACAGCGTTATTATAAGGGTGATATAAGTTAATGTGGGCATGAATTTTGTCTATGATCCAGTCAACAAATATGATCTTATTTTTCTTTTAAACAAATCAGTGTACTCAGAACTCATCCCTACCTGGTTAAAGATTAAAATTTGTATCTCTGTAGGGAGCCTAAGACCATGTAAGAACTGCATTATTTGAAGAACAGTTGAAGAATTGCCTTCTGGTCTGCACTGTATACTGGTCATCACTATTAAGTGCACATTCTCTGACTTCATCAAAAAGATGTTTAGATCTTTGCTGGGGCTGAGAACAGCAGGATTAATTCTCAACCTTCCCAGGTGCACCCTGGAGGCATGCACATCTGAGACCTGCATTTCTCTGGTTGTAGAATCTAGACCAGCCCATTATTCCCCATTGCATCTGAACTCCCAGACTTCCACTCCCCCACTCCCTGGAAACACTCTCTCAAGGCCTTTGTGCTCCAAGGGCTGACTCGTCACCTTATCCAACCCTGAAATCCCTTTCCTCAGATAATCTAATTCCATACTGTCTTATAGCCTAGACTTTTAAAAGCAAATGTCTTCTTTGGAAGTGTTCTTTGGGTATGCTTGTGTTTTTTTTTTTTCTATTTCCAGGAAAAACAAAGGCAAAACATTGCTGGCTTCTTTAGACAAAGAGGTGTAAACTATTTATGGCAGTGAGGATAAAATGCAAATTAATATTCTGATATATTATTCTACCACACACAGATTGTTCTACATTAAGTGGGGTTTATTTCCTCCTCTTTAACTTGGAGCTCAAGCTATTATAGAACCAATTTCCTGTATTGGTTTGGAATGAGTTTTAGTATTTGCAGAATTCAAAAGTAGTATTTCCAGCAATCTGTTGTTAACACAAGGTGTGAAATAGCAAGAACAACCTTTTTTCTCCCCACCCTTTTTCTGTATCTGTTTATCAAATTGATCTCGGATGGTTCAGATCGCAGGGTTTCAATTTTTTTATTGGAAAAGCAAGTATGCTCTTGGAAACTGCATTGCTCTCACACCTGTTTCCCATGTCCTATGTATGTTCTCCAGTGTATGAAGACATGCTGTCAAAATGACGCTGCTACATTCTCAGAGGCGGAATGTCGAACAGGCTGAATGTGAACTCAAAGAAGGTAAGTGTTCCACTGAGTGATAGGAAAGAAGAGACCCCATTAAATAAAGTTTTTTTTAAGAGTTATAATAAGAAATGAAATCTTGGACCATTCAGATACAACTCAAGTGGAAATAGGTTGACAAATAAATTTAGTAATAGCAGAGAGGATCTTATTAACAGAAAAGAAATTATAGAATCTTAAATATTTAGCTGTACCTTACATTGTGATTATCACATCAAATACTTTGGTGAGCACCTGAGACACTGTCTAAAAATAAAATTCTATTATACATTTACTAAAGAATTCATTTAGAGATGATTTTAGAAAGAAGATATTTTTGTAGACTCCAAGAGAAAATACAGCATGAGGTTTCTGTGAGTCTCTGGGCACAAGTTTCATCAACCAATCAATATATGACTTTTGTTTATGTATACTTCTGTTTAAAGATGCCTTACTTCATACATATTTTTGACTTATTATTAACATTGAATTCATGGACAACAGCAATGCAACTCATGCCTGAACAAAGCTTACCCAACCCATGTATTTTCTCCATAACGCACATCACAGCCTTCCTGGACTTTGCAACATTAGCACTACTCTTAGGGGCCATCTTAAACAGCAAAATCACCAGCAAAAAGTAAAACATGCCAATAACATGGCACTGAATAGACGGCAAAAGACACTGTTAACAGTGTGAGAGCTGAAACAACAAGGCAGAATTTTGTCGTATTTGACCTCATCTGGGAATGTACACATTGTGTGATGCAAATTTTTTACCACACTGCACATATCTGGGAATAACCATGAAAGCAATGCAAGTATTGAGTTGGGGATATAAATGCATTTTAGTAAGCAGGTGAATTCGTAAGTACAAAACCTGTGAACAATGAGGACCCATTTTACTTTGAAATAAATGCTTATTGGGTCCTGAAAGGAGTAACCTAACCATATTTTTTAGAGGTTGAGTTATTTAAATATTTTGAGGCACTTTGACTAGGTCATAATTATTCAGTCTGGAACATTAATATTGGAAGGCATCTGAAATATCAATCTTTATAGATAAGAGGATGAATCTCAGAGAGCTAAGACAACTTTCCCAAAGTTGTATTATAAGTCACATGGTAACAAAACAAATTCAAAATCCCTTTTCTCTTGATCTGAAACCTGTTTCTCTTTCTACTACTCGACCTCATACAACATAAGGTGTATTTTTAAAAATACGATGTTAAGATTGAGATCGTATCAGTGATTATGTCAGTTCCTGGTTTGGAACCATCCAAAATCAATGAGGAGGTCAGCATAGCAAAAGGAATGAGCATTGTCATCAATCTTGATGATTTTACTATTATCAGTGGCAGGTTTTTTCTAAGTCTAATTGTTATGAGTAACTGAAGCATTTATTCACCACATCCACAGAGATGCACGCTCCCACGTACACACAATTTGGTCTTCAGCCATGCTTCAAGTAAAGCCAAATGCATCTTAAATGTATTGGGAAAATGATGAAACTAAATTTTAAAAAATCTTGATAGAATATACAGTATCAAAAACTAGATTTTCATTTCTAATTTATTTTTATACTTTATATTCACAGTGACTTAAACACTCAAATAATTCAACCTCTGAAAACTATGGTTATCTTACTTTTGGGGTACCAGTGACCCAAGCAGCATTTATTTCTAAATATTTCTATTTTGAAATTAGGAGTAGTTTCAATATTGAAAGGTTGATTCTAACATAGATGATTGACACATCACCTGATAGACAAATAGATAAAAAATATAGGTGTCTGAAATGCCAAAATGTATTTAATCATTTTTATAAAATATTCCATTGGAGTGTCTCTGTACCTGAGACATCTTTGTCTCTGGAATTAATGACTTTCGTTTTGTTCTCAATCTGTGACAATGACCAGAGATCAAATTTTAATATTCATTTGAGTTGAAGTCAGAATTATTTCAAAAAGGCAGAGGGAGAGGATTCTGTCAAGAATTGGCAATCTGAACTCATAAATATCTCTTCTTTAGTGTCCTTTGTCAAGTCTAAATTTAAAAGAGTCCTATATCCTTTTCTAAAGGGTTGGCATGGGTCATTAACTGTCCCAGGACTTGAAGTATTTTCTGCAGGAGGAAACCAGAGAAGGGCCTGGAAGACTGTTGGTCTGAGAGTCAAGGACGCAGGTTCAAGAGACTCCTGACTCAGTGAGGGAAATTTTATTTGAGGGTGGGAGTCAGTGGCCAATGAATAACTGCTTGTCGTACTCAAAATTATTAACTAACTTAAATATAAGTATTGTTAAAGGCTATGTTCTAAAAATAGATAACATTAATAATGTAGATATTATTATGAAGAGCCCAGACTTAGGGTATATAATTTAATATTTATAAAAATCTTAGGCCCTATTCCCTGCAGCACAATGTTGGCAAAACCTAGTGTTTTCCTGTTATTCAGACTGTGAGTTATTCAGACTTCTGAGTTCTGGTTAAAATAAAGTCCAGTAATAAATTTCAAAAACAGGTTGAAGTCAATTTCTGAATAATTGTAGTAAGTCTTACTTTAATTATTAAAAACAGTGCCTACACAGAATCAGAAGTAATTTTAACATGAGTCAACAGAGAGAAGAAACTGATGGCTTCCAGAGGGAAGGGGCCAGGGGGTGGGTTAAAAAAGATGAAGAAGATTAGGAGGTGCAAACTTTCAGTTACATACCAGTCACAGGGACAAACGTACAGCATGGGGGGTGTAGTTGATAATAGTGTGATAACTTGGCATGGTGACAGGTGGTACTAGACTTATTCCAGTGATCACCTCATGAGGTATATGAATGTCAAGTTACTATATTGTACACCTGAAAGTAATATGCTGTTGTATGTCAACTCTACCTTAATTTAAAAAAGGAAATTAATATCCTAGCTAAGAAAGAGCCTGGGCTTTGGAGTCAGGCAAACTTCACTACGAGTTTGGGTTAGTCATTTGATTTCTTCAGGCTTCCTCTGTAAGTCAGTCCAACAAGAAGTTGTAAGTTCTAAATGAGATACCATCTATAAAGTATTTGTATATGTATTAGAAATCGATTGCTGCATTAAACTTACTATCAAACTTAGTGGATTCAAACAATAAATATTGTATTTATTACCTCACAGTTTCTGTGGGTCAGGAATCTGGGCCCAGCTTAGCTGGGTGTCTCTGGCTTCAGTTCCCTCAGGAGGGTGCCGCCAAGCTGTTGGCTGGGTCTGAAGTGGCATCTGAAAACCCGACCGGAGAGTTGTTTGCTTTCATGCTCACTCACGTGGCCTCTGTTCCGAAGGACTGTTAGACTGAGGGCCTCATTTCCTTACTGACTGTTGGCCAGAGTCCTCCCTCAATTCCTTCTCACCTGAACCTCTCCACAGGGCTGCCTGACTATGCAGCAGATGGCCCTCCCCAGGGCAGTCCAAGGAGAGAGAGAACATTCAGTATATAAACTTCTGTCTTTCCGAATTGAATCTCAGAAGTGATTTGAACCCAAGCAATTTTAAAACCTCGGGCCTTAATGTATTGCTGTACTCACCATCAGTGGCCTCTCATGTTTATGAGTTTTGGACCTCTTTCATAAATCTGATGAAAATTATGTACCCTTTTCTAGGCAAATGTACCAAAACACATTTTCTATACTATTTTAATGGGTTTTTAGAAACTCTACAGTCCACAGATGGACACTTGATTTAGAACCCTTCTCTATAATTCTCCAGCTTCAATAAAATTCAGTAAAGCCTACATTTTTTTCATAATACAAGCTGGTATAGTGAGAAAGAAGCAGATTGTGAATAACTGAATTTGGATTCCGCCTTAATAGGCAAGTCATTTAAATTGAGGCCACAGTTCTTTTTATCTATAAAATGGACATAGTAATCCTATCTGTACACAAAAACTAATATACACTAAGTACAAAAACTCATGTATATTACTTTTACCAGGAGCTATTCCAAGTATTTTTCTTACAGTATATCTCACTTACATCTTCCCCTTTCTCCTATGACATAAATATTATTACAATAAAATCCTGTTTTAGAGGTGGGGAAACTGAAGTACAAAGAGGTTCAATATCCTGCTCAGGTTACATAATAAGTTCACATTAGACCTGAATTCCAGTTTGGTAAGTGATGAAGTTTCCCTATGTGTGTATAAAAAGGCATCATGCCAACAATGAACTATCCAAAACAGAGATTGAGAAAATAGTCCCATTTATAACAGTAACAAAAAGAATAAAACATTAATCAATAAACTTAACCAAGAAGATGAAAGATCTATAAACTGAAAACTATGACATTGATGAAAGAAATTGAAGAAGACACGTGCTAATGAAGAGATATCCATTGTTCATGGATTGGAAAAATTAATATTTTTAAAACATTTATACTGTTCAAAGTTATCTATAAATTCAATACAATCCCTATTAAAATTCCAATGACATTTTTTACAAAAATAGAGAAAACGATTCTAAAATTTGGATGGAACAATAAAAGACCTGAATTAGCTAACAAAATCTTGGGCAAGAAAAACAAAGCTAGAGATGCCACACTCCCCATTGAAATCAAATATAGTTTGATTTCAAACTATATTACAAAGTGGTAGTAATCAAAATAGTATGATACTGGCATAAAAGCAGATACATAGGTCAGTGGAATAGAGTAAAGAGCCAAGAAATAAACTTACACATATATAATCCACTAATTTTCGTAAGGGTGCCAAGAATATATAGTAGGAAAAAGATAGTCAAAAATTGTGTTGAGAAAACTGGATATCCTCATAAACAGAAAAAATTGGATGTTTGTTGTATACCATACACAAAAATCAACTTAGTGTGGATTAAAGACCTCAATGTAGGACCCATAACTGTAAAATATCTGAAAGAAGGGGTTGGAAGCTCTTTGATAATGACTTTTTGGTATGTCACCAAAAGCACCGGTGACAAAGGCAAAAATAAATAACTGCGACTACTACAGTAAACTAAAAACTTTCATCACAGCAAAGGA